TTTCCTCTCCTGGTTCTGATGCGCTTTTTCCCGCCGTTTTTCACCCGCGTGGGCGATCTCCGGGTTTTTTTTTAAAAAATGTTTGCTTTATAGTGTTATAGCGCTATAGCACTATAACGCTATAATGGAACAGCAGTATATCAACCCCATTGGAATGCCTGGAGTGTTTTGTTATATTGCTATAGCGCTATAAAGCGAACATTAAAAAAAAAAAAAGCCGGCGATCGCCCGCGCGGGCGAAAAATGGTGGGGGAAAAGTGATGCAGTCTGAAATGGCAAACCGCTTCAGATCCAGCTCTTTACCAGAAGGGGAAAGCCATGTGTGAAATAGCAGCCCTATACCGATATACTCCATGACGAATCAAAAACAGCTTAAAAAGGGTAATGTAAAATTCGACATAGAGTTGGAAGGGACCCTCAGGGTCATCTAGTCCAACCCACTGCACAGTGCAGGGATTCACAACTACCTCCCCTGCATGCACCCCCAGTGACCCCTGCTCCATGTCCAGAAGATGGCAAAAAAAAAACAACCCTCCAGGATCCCCAGGCAAACCAGCCTGGAGAAAAATTGCTTCTTGACCCCAAAGTGGCGATCAGCATTTCCCTGGGCGTGTAAGAAAGGGCCATGAGAACTAAGCACTGAGGCAACCCTTCCTGCCCTCCCTCTCTCTCGTGATCCGCCTAAGTTCACAGAATCCGCATTGCTGTCAGATGGTCACCTGGCCTCTGTCTGAAAACCTCCAAAGAAGGAGAGGTGGATTGTATGACATTATACACTGCTGAGCTCCCCCCCCCAAAACCCCGCCCTCCCCAGGATCCACTCCCCAAATCTCCAGGTATTCCCCAACCCAGAAGAGGCGACCCTAGCTTACACCAAGTCAAACCACTGGTCCATGTAATTCAGCATTATCTACTCAGACAGGTACCAGTCCTCCAAGACACCTGATTGAACAACCTTCACTTCTTCTTCTGTTTTGCTTCTTCTGGATATTGTGTCACGTTCAATGCATGCAACGAGTACGCAAATGGCACACACATTCACACTATTATCCAGCCCGCCCGCCCGCCCGCCCAGATGTTCTGGTGTCAACCCAACCTGGCCCGCGGCTTTGAGGCAAGAGCAGGGAAACGAAAGGGGTGAGGCAAGAAGAAAAAGATGGAGGAGGAGGAGGAAGAGAAGAAGAAAAGGAGGAGGAGGAGATTGGATTTATACCCCGCCCTTCACTTGGAGTCTCAGAGTAGTTTACAGCCTCCTTTCCCTTCCCCTCCCCACAACAGACACCCTGTGAGGTAGGTGGGGCTGAGAGAGCTCTTTCGAGAACTGCCCTTGAGAGAACAGCTCTGAAAGAACTAGTGACTGGCCCAAGGTCACTCCAGCAGCTGCATGTGGAAGAGTGAAGAATCAAACCCGGTTCTCCCAGATTAGAGTCCGTGCTCTTAACCGCTACCCCGAACCATCAGGCCTGGCTCCTGTGCAGGCAAAGGCAGGGGGAAGCAAGGAACAAAACAAGTTCAGTGCTGAAGGCTGATCTGTAACGTATTCAATGAGCTGCCTATTGAATGCATAGTGTTGTGAAACATCTAACTGAATTGCCATGTTGAGCTTCGTCCTGGGCTAGGATCCAAATACATCCAATCAGGTTACTAGCCCAGGAACTAACATCCAATCACTTCACAGCAAGCTCCCTGAGCGGGAACGCTTGTGATTGGTCTTTATTGGGACAACCTCATTGGTTGGTAATTGTACAGTGGGCGTGGCTATATTAGCCGGGAATGTTTAAAAGCAGGACAACTGCAATGGAAAAGCTGAACCGTTCTGTTCTGGCTATCTGATGTTGATCCGTGTTGGAGTTGTGTTCGAGTTGGAAGAATAAAGTTGTGTTCTTGCTGAATCACTCTCTGACCGCTTTGTTAAGCGAGCGACTTAACATGATCTATAGGTCAGCTGGTCTTCTGGCTGTTCAGATCAGTGAGCAAGAGTGATCTGGAAGCTTCAGTCGGGATCACGGGCATCCACTGATCCACTTGGGCCTACTGGTGCAAGGTTACTTTTTCAACAGGTGAGGGCTAATCTCCCTTGTGGCGCCCCCCAACGAAACTTCATTTGCTGCCTCTCATTAAAGACCCCTTGCAGACCTGAGTCCTGAGAATCAGAGGTACAGAAATACTAAAGGAGAAAGGAAGCCCAGACGAGAGTCTCACAGACTGAAGCCGCCGCCGCCGTGTTCCCCTGGACAAATGAGGCAAATAAAATGGGAGGGGAAATTCAAATTGGAGGCACATTCTGTTGGAAATATGTGTGTCGCAAGGTCTAAAGTCAGCCGTTATAGGTTTAATCTGCTTATCTTGCATGCTATTGTTTAGACTGACCTGTAAGGGAACCTGGCAGAAAGCCAATGGAAAGAAAGCCCTGGAAACTGAAGCCTATTTACTAACAATCATTGGTCAATGCAGTCAGGTGATTTCCTTCTAGGGGTCAAGAACAAAGGAAGAATCTCCATCACTATCTATGTGTCTGTTGTTACAAGCAGGGCTATTTTCGGGCAGGAACGCACAGGAACGGAGTTCCGGCTGGCTCCCAGGTTGGCCACACCCAGCATGAACTCATTAGCATAATAGGCCACACCCAACAGCAGGAACTCATTAGAATTGGCTACATCAGGGGTGTGTGGCCTAACATGCAAAGGAGTTCCTGCAACAAAAAAGTCCTGGGTTTTGACAACAAATAAGGTAAACAGAATAAGAAGCAAAAGGTGGGTGTGGCTGGATGACCACACTTCTGGTAACATGGGAATGTGGCCTAACAGGCTAATGAGCTGTGCTGTCAGGGGTGTGGCCTAATATGCTAATGAGTTTATGCTGCTGGGTGTGGCCTATTATGCTAATGAGTTGCTGCTGGACTTTTTCTACAAAAAAAGCCCTAGTTACAAGCATGTAGTCTTAATTGTGTTTGTTGTTTTGTAGACTTTCCTGTGTACCCTTCCCTTTAGAAATAAAGATTTTTACACAGAAAGAAAATGCCTCCTCCCCAGTGAACAAAGATCCATCGCAACCTCTGAATATCGAACCATTTTTACCAGCTTTCCAACACATTCCACTTTTCGCAGCCGAGGAAGCTCCCATGCTTGGAGTCCCTGTGTGAATCACAGTTCTGAAAGGGGGGGGGGGGAAGCCAGAGCTTTGAGTCATACAAAAACTCCGCAGGCAGCTTCCTCAAAGGGTGGGTGATTCCGCTGTGCCCATCCATCAGGAGCCCTTGAATGATTCAGCCATGCCCAGTGCAGAAATATATAGGGTTGCCAAGTCCATCTTCCACCCCCAGCGGGGGACTTTGGGGGCGTTCCTGGAGGGGGCGGGGCATCCCCGACGTAATGACGTCACGTTGGGGACGTCCGCCGCCCCCACCACCACCTCCCCACGTGCCGGATCTCCCGAAACGGCAGTTCCCCTCAAGCGGAAATCGGGCTTGGGAGGAAGCACAGGCTTGGGAGGAAACACGGGTTCCACACACTTAAAGGGAGAGAGAGGGGTGGGTGTTGGGGGCGGGGCTTCCCCCGCCAGCCATCTGGCTGGGGGCGGGTAGAACCCCCCCCCAAAATGGGGGACCCCTGGCAAACCGGTGGGTTTGGCAACCCTAGAAATATATCAGAATACATCTTTTGTAAGTGGAGCGGAACAGGGGCTATTATCAGCAAGGGCCTATTAGAGAATATGGAGGTGGGTAGAGGAAAGAGGGACCCCCTGTAAGGGTCAGAAGGTGAGAGAAGCCGAAGAGAAAGGAGCCCCAGAGTTAGAGGGGAAAAGAGTGGCGAGGAAGAGGAGGAGGGTTACCAAGCTCCTGCTGAGACCTCAGGCAACAAGCTACAAAGGCCCTGTGGTGGGGCGGGGGTACAAGTGAAATGTCGCACCCCCAGTAGGTGCATGGTGCATTATTGCTAACAGCTCTTCCCTGTAATTTTTGCCTTATTGACCCCATATAGTCTCACATAATTACAAATGAGCACAACATGCTTTTAAGTACCAAACCTGAGCCTATGTTGTGCTTTTAATGATATTATGCATTTCTCAGCATTATGCATGCAGGGGCATCGTTATTAGCTGTACCCTCTCTGCAGGACGTGCTGGAAAGTTCAGCTATGTCCATGTGATTATTAACTCATTCCATTATACACAAAATAAATCAACACTCAGGCAGCTTCCAGTCCATGCAATGCATTCCACACCTAACTGGCTGCACGCTGGTGGCCTTGGTGGCTCAGAGTTTAAGACACTGAGCTGCAGACTGGAAGGTCTGTAGTTCGGCAGTTCGAGACCCGATTAACGCATGACGGAGTGAGCTCCCGTCTCTGGCCCCAGCCCCTGCCAACCTAGCAGTTCGAAAGCAAGAAATTGCAAGTAGATAAATAGGTACCACTTCGGTGGGAAGGTAACAGCGTTCCCTGCACCTCAGCGTCTAGTCATGCTGGCCACATGACCATGGAAACGTCTTTGGACAGTGCTGGCTCTTCGGCTTGGAAACGGAGATGAGCACCGCCCCCTAGAGTCGGATTCGACTGGCTTTCAAGCAAGGGAAAGCTTTACCTTTACTAATGTATATCCATTGGCTTTCTGGGCCATGTTATAAATATTTTAAATAAACTATACTTAGATCTTAGATCATTCAAGTTAGGCAGAAGAGGAAGAAGAAGAGAAGAGATTGGATATATACCCCGCCCTTCACTCGGAGTGTCAGACAAATTACTTTCCCTTCCCCCCCCCACCACAACAGACACCCTGAGAGGTAGGTGGAGCTGAGAGAACTCTGACAGAAACTGCTCTTTCAAGGACAGCTCTGACAGAACTATGGCTTGCCCAAGGTCATCCAGCAGCTGCAAGTGGAGGAGTGGGGAATCAAACCCAGATTACAGTCCGCACACTTAACACCAAACCACTATACCAAAAATGAAAAGGGTCTTAAAGGGCAACTGAGAAAGAAAAGTTCCGGTAAACATAGAACTTACAGAGGAGCCATAATTTACTGCTAGGGTCTGTAGGGACCATGGAAGGCCAAGGCCGATCAGAATGTCAAAAACGTTGCTTCCGATGGAGTTCGACACAGCCATGTCTCCCATGCCTGCAGAAACAAGAAATCAGGAAGAGTCAGAATCATTTCCAAAGGGAGTTTGCAATCCTAAACCCGATTGTTCTTCCCAGAGTTACCACTGACATATGCTTTGTAAATGTACGGGCTCCCTGTCTTACTCTAGCTGCCCTGCCTTCCTGCTTCAATGGCAGATGGTGACCACTTGTTTAGATTGATCACAGCATTCACATAATATTCCTGATGGCCACAGGCTGCTCCCTCGGTACACACAAATACCACGGACAAAACATTTCACACAGGGTTGCCAAGTCCATCTTCCACCCCCAGCAGGGGACTTTGGGGGCGCATCCCCGATGTGATGACATCACGTTGGGGATGTCTGCCGCCCCCCTCACCCGCCCGTGCGCTGGATCATCAGAAACAGCAGTTACCTGCACTTAAAGGAGCCAACGTTTCCCTTTTAAATGCAGGAGCCGGTGTTTCCCCTTTAAGAACAGCCGCATTTCCCTTTTAAGAGCACGAAGCTGCCATTTCCCTGCAAGCTTGCAACGATCGGGCTTGGGAGGAAACACGGGTTCCACACACTTAAAGGGAGAGAGAGGGGTGGCTGTGGGTGTTGGGGGTGGGGCTTCCCCCGCCGGCCATCTGGCCGGCAGCGGGTAGAAACCCCCCCAAAAAACAAGGGACCCCTGGCGAACTGGGGAGTTTGGCAACCCTAATTTCACACCTGTCCAATTTGCTTACAGACCTCAACGGTTTAGGTACCTACAATTTCATTTCAGTAAAAAATATACAGATCCCAAGGAATATTGCGTTACAGGTCTAGCTAGAAGGGACCGAAGCCAATGTAGGCCACAAAACTCAATAAAAAAGAAGAACAAAGAAAAGAAGAGTTGTTTAAGATGTCCCGAGGATGGAACAAATGACTGAACAAATCTTTTTTAAAAATTGCCCCATTTATCAAAGAAGTTAAACATGAACTGCAAGTCTCGTAATCTACGCTTGCTCCACAGTACACTATGTGGGCCCTTCACATACGTGGATAGCCCGAATGGGAGAATGAGCCTGAACTTCAGTCACAAGCTCCATAATATCCTAAAATCAACAGCCTGATTGGCTCCCATGGCGCAACGGGCCAATCAGGAAAGACTATGACTTTCGGTGGGGACAAACCGTATTGGTCCTAAGCGCTCACTCACGATTGGACCTTTCTGTTCTAGGGGTGTGGTTTAGCCAGTTCCAAACTGTATATAAATTGAGGTTGTTCTATGTGTTCTTGTTGTCGTGTTCTGTTCTAATAAACTGAAATCACTGGTTAAGAATGAGCTGTCTGATCTCAAGTTACAACACCTAACCTTCTGCCGATGGTCAAGAGGGCAGGCTGAGGGAGAGAAGAAAAAGCCCCAGACTGCACTCTCAGTCTCAAGCCAAACAGAATCTCAGGTCAAGTTAACATCCGAACAGGTCACACAGGGCTCTTTTTGTAGAAAAAGCCCAGCAGGAACTCATTAACATAATAGGCCACACCCAACAGCAGAAACTCATTAGCATATTAGGCCACATCCATGACAGCACTGCTCATTTGCATATTAGGCCACACCCCCATGTTACCAGAAGTGTGGTCATCCAGCCACACCCACCTTTCCCTTCTTATTCTGTTTAGCTTGTTTGTGGTCAAACCAGGGCTCTTTTTGTAGCAGGAACTCCTTTGCATGTTAGGCCACACACCCCTAATGTAGCCAATCCTAATGAGTTGTTGGGTGTGGCCTGTTATGCTAATGAGTTCCTGCTGGGCGTGGCCAACTCGGGAGCCAGCTGGAACTCCGTTCCTGTGCGTTCCTGCCCAAAAGTAGCCCTGTGTCACCAGATGGGAATGCGTGTCCTCAGGCGTGACCCAGCCTACCTTGTCTTGCTACAATAAGGCTCGCCATGCAGTCCGGTACGCTGGTTCCAGCTGCCAGAAAGGTGATTCCCATGATCACATCTGGAATACCCAACGTGTAGCCAATGATGGTGACCTAAGGAAATGAAATGCACCATCAGGACACTGTCGCTCATTAAGGATGTAGACAAAAGACTACACGAGCTAGTACCTGTTTTCCACTGGGAGGAGGGCAACTCTACTTACCTCAGGCTTGCCATCTCCAGCTTCCTGGAGATTTGGGGGCAGAGTTTGGGGAGGGGAAGAAACTCAGTAGAAACTACTAAAAATCTGGGGTAGGATTTTAATTTTTGTAGCACAGAGGATACGCAGCCCCACATAGCCAGTTCCAAGGCAACGTCGGGCTAACTCGGTCCTGAAGTTTCAGTTTCAAGGCTTGTCTGTGTAAGCCCAAATGCAGAGGCTCTAGAGCTCAAAAGAGGCAGCAGATTTGGGGAAGTGTTTCTATGCAGTCCTCATGATTAATTTATGGAATTTGGTGCCACTAAATAAAGTGATGGCTTAGACGGCCTCCGAAGGGGGAGTGAGACCAGTTCATGGAGGACAGACCAGTCAAGGACGATGAGCCACAATGCATCTAGAATAGTACAATTCTACTAAAGGCTGAGGTGAAAAACCATGGGCGAGGGTCCTATCCATGGGCTTCCGGAGGCCTATGTCTGGCCACTGTTGGGAACCAGATGCTGGATTAGATGGATTTTTATTATGATTTAGAACAGCTCATGGAAGAAAAGATAGATCCATGAAAAAATAGATCAATGAAAGATCCATGAAATTGCTGAGCGGTCGGGTTAGAACGGATAAAAGGAAGTACTTCTTCACCCAAAGAGTGATTAACACTTGGAATTCACTGCCACAGGAAGTGGTGGCGGCTACAAGCCTGGACGGCTTCAAAAGGGAATTAGATAGGCATATGGAGCAGAGGTCCATCAGTGGCTATTAGCCACAAGGTATAGATAGGAACTCTCAGTCTGGGGCAAGTGATGCTCTGTCATCTTGGTGCTTGGGGGAGTCAACAGTGGGAGGGCTTCTAATGTCCTGGCCCCACTGGTGGACCTCCTGATGGCACTGGTATTTCTGGCCACTGTGTGATACAGAGTGTTGGACTGGATGGGCCTTTGGCCTGATCCAACATTGGCATCTCTTATGTTCTTAGGTTCTTATCAAGGTGGGCAGTCGTGTTCGTCTGAAGCAACAGAACAAAGTTAGAGTCCAATGGCACCTATAAGACCAACAAAGGCCCTGGCCACACGTGCCGGAAAACGCGGGGGGGGGGGGCTTGGCTATTTGTGCCGCCGCATTCTGATCCGCCATTATGCGATCAGACACGACAGTGGCACACCGGGGTTTTGTCCTTCGGCACGCGCTGCAAAGAGGACAGCCAGAGGGAACACACCGACCGAGTCTGTCTGCAGCCCATGGCAAACCATTTGCTAGTAGATCTTTGCAGGTACTTTTTAACTGCACATCTTCAGAGGTACGCCATGGGTTGGCCATGGGTGCGCTACGCTTGCCAGATGTTGCGGTGTGATCATGCCCCAAAAATCCGCCCAGCATTCGCGCCTTTCGCGCGGCAAATTCTCCGTGTGACCGGGGCCCAAGTTGTATTCAAGACCTGAGCTTTCGTGTGCATGCACACTTAATCAACCATTGAAATGGAATTACAGATCATGGTTGTATATTACAGGTAGCTTGTCAGATCAGCATGCAAAATAGTGAAAATATTTTTAAACAGATCAAATGAATGTCAAGCTGCGTTTCTGGTTATCATCTGTTTCGCTTCAACTGGGGGGACGGGGACAACAAGGGTAATAGATATGTTAGGAGATTGATGTGTCCTAATAAGGATACTCATGAATAATGTTCCCGCTAAGCTGTGGAGTCTTGTGAGCAAAAATTCTATTTTGTGAGCTACGGGCATTAGAGTTGTGAGCAAGCGATTTGGCTACTGCATAAATCAGTTGGCTCTGGAGCCCTCCTTCCTGAGCTGAGACAAAAACGTATGAGCCGGAGGCTAAAAAACTGTGAGCTAGCTCACATTAACTCAGCTTAGAGGGAACACTGCTCATGAAGCTCAAACGCTCTCCAACATTCAGCAGGTCCAATACGTACCATCCATACCATCACATAGGAAAAGGCTGCGATCCAAAGGGTAGATGCAGTGAAGGTGATCAGGAACCATTTCTCCCAGCGGGGCTTATTACAGTTGGGTACCGTGAAGTACATAAGGAGACACAGGGGCCAGGAGAACAGCCACTTGGCAACTTCCATCTTTCCTGCTACAAAAACATAGGAAGAAGTTCCTTTAGTTCCGAGAGCAGAATTAAAGACACAGTGAGAACAACACATAAATGCTGCGCTGAGTAATTCCTGCCCTCCTGGGCCAGTGACTCTCAGCTCTAAACTGAATCATGAGACAGTAAAGAGGGTCTGAGGTCTCCACATCCAGTAGGAAACTTCACATATGGTAGAACAGATCTTTATTTATTTGGGGATGTATATGCCGCCTCTCCAGAAACCTGCTCAAGGTGGGTCACAAAGCAAAAAACAAAAACAGGCCCCGGTCACACGGGCCGGATATCGCGGGGGAGAGGTGTGGCTAATTGCCCCGGCACCATTTGATCCGCGATTATGCGATCAGACGCGCTGGCAGCACACCACGGGTCCTTCCCTTGGCACCAGTGGGTAAACCAGGGACCGGAGGGGAATGCTGCGAGTTGGCACAATCACACCACGGGAGTCTGGAGGCAGCCCGTGGCAAACGTTTACTAGTACCTTGGAGGTACTAGTTTTTAAACTCGCATTGTCGGCGGTAAGCCACGGGTGCGCTCCACTTCCCAGATGCTGGGGTGGGATCGTGCCCGGATAATCCGCCCACCATCCGTGCCTCTCCCGCGGCAACTTTGCCGTGTGACCGGGGCCACAATAAAGTTTAAAAAGCAAAAGAAACTAAAACAAGCGATAAAAACGAACCGGGGGCATAAAATCAGCGTCAAACGTTCCGTCACCTAAAACGATACTGACAGAACCGTCCCTCGAGCAAACTACAAAAACAGCTTTAAAAGATGGGAGTCACACGGTTTCGTCTCGGTTCTGACTCTTGTACCCTAGCTCAAATATTATTTATCTGGATTTTCGCTGAATGAAGTAAGCCTGTCTTATTTTGGTGTTTCTCATGCATTCTCTGATTTCATGTACCAGAGAAGAGCCAGAGTCCAGGAGCACCTTAAAGAGTAACAAAATTAGGGGCAGGGGATGAGTTTTCGTGTGCCACTGCTCACTTCTTCAGATAGCTCATCCCCTGCCACACGTTTTCTTAATCTTTACGGTGCTCCTGGACTCTGGCTCTTTTCTACTGCTACAGACAAACCTCTCCATCTAGTTCCAAATGTTATCTAAATCCAGGCAATGGCATTACATTCATTGGCCCCTGCCACACGAGGGGAAAAAACACCAAAATAGACACACCACGGCGGGATCCCATGGATCCCATGAGCCGTGGCGCCGTTGCTCCCCGGCACGATCAGATGCCGGGGAGGAAGCCACAGTCGGGAGACCGAGGCAGCCGGCTGCGCATGCATGCGCATGCGCAGTTTGACCAGGAGCCAGGGATGCGCCGGCAGAAGGACACACCGGCGATCCCATGGCCGTGCTTGCCGCGGCCGTTCAGGTAAGACCTCCTCAGGAGGTGGTTTAGTTTAGATGCGGGTTTTCGGCCGGAAGGGCCGGATCGGGGACGGGTGCACGTTTCCCAGATGTTGCGGTGGGATCGCGCCCGTTTGCTGTGCCCCCGATCCGTCTCTCTCTCGGCCCAAAACCTTTCGTGTGACCGGGGCCATTGTGAGGCAAACAGCTGAGGGAAAGCCAGGCCTGGACTCCTGAGGACCCTGAAGACCACCCTGGGAAGAGGCCAAGGCAGCCTCTGTCTGACGTTTCTCTCAGCTACTTAGCCAGGCCCCCGGTACCTCAGAAAAGTTAGCCACGAAAGGAGAAATCAGAAAACCATACAGCTAAAGAAGCAGGCCAGCCACTCTACAGTGGTCTCTGCTTGTCCCCGGAAGAACCTTGCAGGTGGCTCATTTTCACCTCACAGCTGTAGCTAGCAGCCTAGGAGCATAATTCTAGGCAGCCACCGGCTCCTTGTGGCAGCCAAGTGCCACCGTATCAGGGACCAAGGCTCCCTCTGAGCTGTGGAGTCCTGTGAGCAAAAACCCTACTTGGTGAGCTCCTGGCATTAAAGTGGTGAGCGGGCGATCTGGCTGCTGCATAAATCAGTCTGCTCTGGAGCCCCATCCTTCCTGAGCAAAGACAAAAATGTGTGAGCTGGAGGCTAAAAAACTGTGAGGTAGCTCACACTCACTCAGCTTAGAGGAGACACTGGCAGGGACCACGGTAGGGTTGCCAGGTCTGGGTTGGGAAATACCTGGAGACTTTGGGGGTGGAGCCGGGAAAGGGCGGGGTTTGGGGGCGGGAGGGGCCTCAGCGTGGGACCATGCCACAGAGTCCACCCCCCAAAGCAGCCATTTTCTCCAGGGGAGGTGATCTCTGTCAGCTGGAGATCAGTTGTCAAAGCGGGAGATCTCCAGGCCCCACCAGGAGGCTGGCAACCCTAGACCATGGTGTTGCTCACATGTTCCACAGCTCTGCCTTATACTGGGAAACCTTCACCCTGGTGCAACGATGGGATCGTGGGGATAGTAAAATAAAAGACAGGCAAACTACTCTCAGGGGATGACTAAAATCACGTCCCTCCATTGTTCTGTGCGGTGGCTCACCAAACCACATGTCACTGAACCCTCAAGTGCTGGCACTCCTTCCACCCACCCCCCCACGACACTCTAAGAATCATGATTTGAATCGTGAGGGCCAGTGTGCTGTAGAGGTTAGAGTGTCAGACTAGAACCCAGGTTCAAATCCCTGCTCGGCCATGGAAGCCTGCTGGGCGACCTTGGGCCAGTCACACCCTCCGAGCCTCGCCCACTCCACAGGGTTGTTGTGAGGATAAAACGGAGGACAGGAGAACAATGTAGGCCACTCTGGATCCACAGTGGGCAGAAGAGCAGGGTATCAATGAATAAATAAAATTTTGAAAAGGCCAATTTAAATATTCTTTCCCTTTATCATTCAGGTACCTTCCAAACAAAAAATGCAGACTAATTTGTTGCTCTGCAAATAAAACATAGAAGAAGAAGAAGAAGAAGAAGAAGAAGAAGAAGAAGAAGAAGAAGAAGAAGAAGAAGAAGAAGAAGAGGAGGAGGAGGAGGAGGAGGAGGAGGAGGAGGAAGAGGAAGAGGAAGAAGAGGAAGAAGAAGAGGAAGAAGAGGAAGAAGAGGAAGAAGAAGAGGAGGAGGAGGAGGAAGAGGAGGAAGAGGAGGAGGAGAGGAAGAAGAAGAGGAAGAAGAAGAAGGAAGAAGAAGGAAGAAGAAGGAAGAAGAGGAGGAGGAGATTGGATTTGTACCCCGCCCTTCACTCGAGGTCTCAAAGCGGCTTACAAACTCATTTCCCTTCCCTTCCCCACAACAGACACCCTGTGAGGTCGGCGGGGCTGAGAGAGCTCTTTCGAGAACTGCTCTTTCAGGAACAGCTCTGAGAGAACTTGTGACTGACCCAAGGTCATTCAACAGCTGCAAGTGGTGGAGTGGGGAATCAAACCCGGTTCTCCCAGATTAGAGTCCACGTACAACCACTGCACCAAACTGGCTCTCATAGAACTGAGAAGCGCACAGAGCCTTTCCACAACTTCAGAAGGTGACACTCTACATTTCTAAAACACTGAACGTGGGTATTTTAGAGCCGCAGCGTGCCATGACATCCGGACCCGCTGCCCGTGCTGAAGTCTGCCCTTCAATCACGGCTCGCAAACCTGGTTTGGAGGGGACGTTTCAAGAGCGTTTGAAAGAGCACGATTTAAACAATGCGCATCGTACATGGTGGGTCAAAGGGTGTGTAAGGGCCACTGTCTTCCTCCTCTTCCTCCTCCTCTTCGTCATTCTCGTTGTTTTCGTTGTCTTCGTTCTCGTTCTCGGTTTCATTCCCGGCTTCGGCGGCAGCCTCGTCTCTTCGGGTTCCGCTCACACCTCTGTCGGCGGAGTTGCTGGGCCCGGATCCGTTCTCCATGGTACGCTTGATGTTGATGGGGACCTTGATAGCCACCTCAGACTCCCCGTTGGTGTAGACTCTGCTGTTTATCAGTCTTTGCCTCTGGGGGGGGGGGGGGGGAGAGAAGGCAAAGCACAGGGTTACGGTTTTTAAAATAATAACCAAAAAAATCTGGACACACACGACCCAATCAGTTAAACAAGTATAAAGCCAACAGTCGTGATAGTCTGACCCACAATCAAACAGTCATAAGACTTGTAAAGAATGCTGTTTATGTAAGAACATAAGAGACGCCAATGTTGGATCAGGCCAAAGGCCCATCCAGTCCAACACTCTGTGTTTCACAGTGGCCAGAAATAACACCCAAAGCCCCCCCCCTTGTTGCCCCCCCCCCAAGCACCAAGAAGACAGAGCATCCCTTGCCCCAGAGCCCCTATCTATACCTTGTGGCTAATAGCCACCGATGGACCTCTGCTCCATATAAGAACATAAGAGACGCCAATGTTGGATCAGGCCAAAGGCCCATCCAGTCCAACACTCTGTATCACACAGTGGCCAGAAATACCAGGTGCCCTCAGGAGGTCCACCAGTGGGGCCAGGACATCAGAAGCCCTCCCACTGTTGCCCCCCCAAGCACCAAGAAGACAGAGCATCACTTGCCCCAGAGCCCCTATCTATACCTTGTGGCTAATAGCCACTGATGGATCTCTGCTCCATATGCTTATGTATTGCAATCTAAAGCACTATAACATGATACACAACTCAATAGAAAATCCTTGAACCAAGGTACATAATCAACGTCGTCTCCGGATTACAGAAAAATGGATCTTCTTCAGGAGATATGATAGTGGTGCCAAAGCTCTCGGTTTCATAAATGTTAGACAACAAGTCTTAAGAATATTAAATTCAGATAGGACGCTGATCTCAATTAACATTCAGGCTCAAAATATGCTGCTATGTTTCTACTGGATCCAGTATCATGTCGTAGTGCTTTAGATTGCAATACATAAACAGCATTCTTTATAAGTCTTATGTTTGATTGTGGGTCAGACTATCACGACTGTTGGCTTCATACTTGTTTAGCTTTAAAATAATAATCACAGGAACAAAAAAAAATCTGTAAAATCAAATGTCCTGATTAATTGCCACCCCACTTGAAATGGCCATAAAGGCTTCCTCGGGAGGTGGTGGGCTCTCCTCCTTTAGAAGTTTTAAAGTAGAGGCTAGATGGCCCTCTATGGGGCCGCGGTGGCTCAGAGGTTAAGACGCTGAGCTGCAGACCGGAAGGTCTGTAGTTCGGCAGTTCGAGACCCTGGTGCCGTGTGATGGAGCGAGCTCCCGTCTCTGGCCCCAGCTCCTGCCAACCTAGCAGTTCGAAAGCAAGACATTGCAAGTCGATAAATAGGTACCGTGTCGGTGGGAAGGTAACAGTGTGCCGTGCGCCTCGGCGTTTAGTCATTCCAGTCGCACGACCACGGAAATGTCTTCGGACAGCGCTGGCTTTTCGGCTTGGAAACGGAGATGAGCACCGCCCCCTAGAGTCGGATTCGACTACCTTTCAAGCAAGGGAAACTTTTACCTTTACCTAGATGGCCCTCTGAAGCAATGCTGAGTCTGTGGATTTAGGCAGGTCGTGAGGGGGAGGGCAGGAAGGGGTGAGCCAGTGCTCGGTCCTCGTGGCCCTTTCTTACACGCCCAGGGTAATGCTGATCGCCACTTTGGGATTAGGAAGGAATTTTCCCCCAGGTCTGACTGTCCCAGGGTTCCTGGAGGTTTTTTGCTGTCCTCTGGGCACAGAGCAGGGGTCGGTGGAGGAGTGAATTTTCTGCATTGTTCCTGCATGGTAGTTGTTAATTTCCTGCATTGCAGACTAAATGACCCCTGAGGTCCCTTCCAGCTCTATGTTTCTACACCAGTTTGGTGTAGTGGTTAAGTGTGCAGACTCTAATCTGGGAGAACCGGGTTTGATTCCCCACTCCTCCACTTGCACCTGGCTGGATGGCCTTGGGTCAGTCACAAGCTCTGGCACAGCTGTTCTTGAAAAAGAGCAGTTTCTGTCAAGAGCTCTCTCAGCCCCACCCATCTCACAGGGTGTCTGTTGTGGGGAGGGGAAGGGAAAGGAGCTTGTAAGCCGCTCTGAGACTCCAAGTGAAGGGCAGGGTATAAATCCAATCTCCTCCTCCTCCTCCTCCTCCTCCTTTTCTTCTTCTTCCCATATGGTGATAGCCATGTATTTTAATATTAATATTTTATATTTGTTTTATTACCTTATTGGTTTCGTCTTCTTCTATGTTTAGATGTTTCTAATGTGATGCATGTGCTTAGCGTACCAATCACTGTCCTCCGGACACTCCTAGTATACTCCCACGCCACTCTGCCATGATAAGGATTCTTTCCACCTTATATGACATGAAAGGAAGAAATAGGGTATGAGACACCGTCAGTGTCTGGGACGCAACAAACTCATCCCCAATGCTCCCTCTAAGCTGTGGAGTCGTGTGAGCAAAAAATTCTACTTTGTGAGTTACCGGCACTATAGTAGTGAGCGAGTGATCTGGCTGCTGCGTAACTCAGTTTGCTCTGGAGGAGCCCTCCTTCCTGAGCGGAGACAAAAACGTGTGAGCCAGAGGCTAAAAAACTGTGAGCTAGCTCACACCGACTCAGCTTAGAGGGAACACTGCTCATCACTCATACCCACAGCAGAGTGATTGCCCCTAACGCCTCTGTCCCCGAGCAGACCGAGAACGACTCCACACTGCTTCCAGCTGACACATCGTAAGTCCAAGAGAGGGAAGGGGCGGAGCACGTCACCTGAGATAAGAGCACGGAACACACCTCGTTGATCAGCATGCGGCTGGCCATGGAGAGCCGGGTCCTGGGAGGGAAGTGACTGGTTATCATAATCCGGAGCCCGGCTTCTGAAAAGGAAAGCTGGTGTGGATAGGCAGACAGCAATTCATCCACCATGATCACGGAAGCTTTACGATGGAAATTTCCTGTAAATAATCAACAGAGAAAGAGAAGAAGCATTTGTGCAGCATTGGATATGGCTTCGTATCTATCCTCTCTGCAGGTCCCTGAACAACATAGAGCGTTCACCCTGGCCAGATGTAATGCTATGCCGTCCGCCATTCTATTTGGCAGATTTAACAAGGTTTCTCATGTGGCCAGACACTGCCCTTGCAGATCGAAATGTGTGGAATCTATCACTCATGTTCTCCTGCACTGCACTTTGTATATGGACTTAAGCAGGGTTCTTTTTGTAGAAAAAGCGCAGCAGGAACTCATTAGCATAATAGGCCACACCCAACAGCAGGAACTCATTAGCATATTGGGCCACACCCCTGACAGCACAGCTCATTAGCGTATTAGGCCGCACCCACATGTTACCAGAAGTCAAAACCCAGGGCCTTTTTTTGTAGCAGGAACTCCTTTGCATGTTAGGCCACACACCCCTAATGTAGCCAATCCTAATGAGTTCCTGCTGTTGGGAGAGGCCTATTATGCTAATGAGTTCCTGCTGGGTGTGGCCAACTTGGGAGCCAGCCGGAACTCCATTCCTGTGCGTTCCTGCCCCAAAAATAGCCCTGGACTTAAGGATCACATACTTACACTCTCTTTTAACCCGCATGGGTGCTTGCTCTGATGCACTCAAGGTGAATAAACGTTTAAGAGATCTCAGTCCGGACATCACAGAGAAGGCGGCTGAGTTTCTCTGCTTGGCTTTAAAGCTGCACCAAAGGTCCTTCTAGAATTGTATATATGAGTTTTAACGGGTTTAAAAATGTATAAATGGTACTGATAATTTATGCCAATAAAGGCTGACTTGACTTGACTTTGAATATTTTTTCTTTTATTTGAAGGGTTCTAACTCACATGCTCCTTAAAAGTGGGGATGGAAAGCAGAGTGAAGTGAGCTAAGAAGCCGAGCCCTGGCCTCAGCCACAAACGCAAAAGGAGGCTTTTGTCTAGGCGCATCGTGAATGATGTCTCCTCTACGTTTATGTATTACATTTTCTGCCTTTCCTCGAAGACTTCAGCTTGGTGTTCCCGAGCGAGGGCAGTCAAGTTGACCTCAAGTCATTCAGAAAGCTTCATACCAAATGGAGCTTTGAAATACGTTCTTCCTGTTTTCCAAGGTCATCACGCTAACAGCTACATCTTACCGGTGATACGCGATTAGTCATACCTCTTCCTGAGAAAACATGAGCATAACAGCAGTCTTCCTGGATCAGATCAAAGGTCAATCTAGACTCCGGTCACACGGGCCGGAAAACGCGGGGGGGAATATATATAGCTGTAAATAAACTGTAAATAATTAAGCACAGGACTGTGTCTGTGTGGCTTGCTATTGCTACCTGGTTTCCCCGAAAATAAGACAGTGTCTTATATTAATTTTTGCTCCCAAAGATGCGCTAGGTCTTATTTTCGGGGGCTGTCTTATTTTTCCATGAAGAAGCATATGGTACACTCCATCAAAGCAGAGCAAGCAGCAGGTGGCAGCTTGTCCTGGCGGCAACACGGGCTCTCTGATTAAAAGAGACCTCGCACTTCCTGTCTGCTCCGGTTGCGCGGCGGCCAACAGTGAGCGGGCCGCCGCGGCCCGCCGCTACGGCCCAGAGTCCAGAGTTACGGTAGCTTCGGGGGGCCTTATTATCGGGGAGGCCTTATGTTCGGGGGAGGCCTTATTATCGGGGAGGTCTTATTTTCAGGGGATGTCTTATATTTCAGCAAGAGGCAAAACTGTAAGTAGGTCTTATTTTCGGGGAATGTCTTACTTTCGGGGAAACAGGGTACTAGTTTTTTACAGCGCATCTTCGGAGTGAAGCCACGGGTAAGCCACGGGAGCTCTACGCTTCCCAGATGTGGCGGTGAGATCGCGCCCGGAAAATCCGCCTACCTTCCGTCTCTCTAGCGTGCCTAATGCTCCGTGTGACCGTAGCCATAGTCCGGCATCCTCTTTCAAGGGCTTCTGACCAGAGGTCTCCAGGAAGCCCACAAATACCACATGAAAGCAACCCCGTAGCCCCGCCCCCTCAAACTGTTTTATGTGCCACACATCTGTACGTAAGTGCCTTCAAGTCGCAACCGTCTTATTTCCACCCCAGCACAGGGACTTTCAAGGCAAGGGAGAAGCAGAGGTGGTTTGCCATGGCCTTCCTCTGCAGAGTCTTCCTTGGTGGTCTTCCATCCGGGTACCGACCCTGCTTAGCTTCCAAGATCTGATGAGACTGGGCTATGCTATGCTGCCTTTCCTCTCATATTCTGTGGCATATTGCCTCTGAAATACAGGCTTTACTTAGCCATTAAGGAATCTCTCCATTCCCCCATATGCCCTCCCCACCCCCCAAGTTAAGCCAACTAAATCAATAGCCATGATCAGGGCTCTTTTTGTAGAAAAAGCCCAGCAGGAACTAATTAGCATAATAGGCCACACCCAACACCAGAAACCCATTAGCATAGTAGGCCACACCCCTGCCAGCACAGCTCATTAGCACATTAGGACGCACCCCCATGTTACCAGAAGTGTGGTTATCCAGCCACACCCACCTTTTGCTTGTTATTCTGTTTACCTTGTTTGTGGTCAAAACCCAGGGCCTTTTTTTGTAGCAGGAACTCCTTTGCATGTTAGGCCACACACCCCTAATG